TGAATAATTTAGCAGGTAGAGGAGGCAGATTACATCATGGAATTATGTAGGACTCTACTCATTACTCTCTTTTTAACAGGTAGGATTTTCTTTAAAGTTGCTTTGTGGTTGTTTTCCCCTTCAATTTCTGTTTTCTGTTTTCAGAACTGTATTACACGAATGACTTCAGGAGTAGCTTGAACTCTCAAAAAGATACCCCTAAATGTATAGGGTGAGGACAGGACTATCCTACCTAGACAATGAAGTCTAATTCTGTTGCCTGAGCTCTAGGAAACACACACATGGATGAAAACTCATAAAGTTAGTACAGTACTAACAGCTGTATATAAAAAGTTGTTAGCAATGGATATCAGTATTGCAGTATCTCTTCAGAACAGTTGCTCTGTGTCCTTATCTGATCAGGAAAGGCTTTTTGATGGTAAACCTGCATCAAAATGACCCATTTGGGCTGTTATACTCTGCAAAAGTACTCAAAAAGTACTCAAAAGTAGAAGGTCTGCTTACCACTGCTGCATGCTTGGGGTGATGGAAGAACCAGTGTGTCTGAACAATGCTGTGCTGTGTTAGAGACTGAGGAGATCAGTTTTCCTTAAATCTTAAATGAACTTTGCATTATAAGATCTATTTAAAAAGTCATTGTCAGGCTCAGCATCGTATGATGAAGATCTCTAGGAGGCTCAGGAGTGCAAAACCAAGTTAGGTGACAGTGTTTGGGTATTAAAAGTGCTAAAGGGAACAAGTTTGAGCTTAGTAGAGATGGTGCTTCTAACTGCCACATCCTGCATCCTGTTGGGCTGTTCTTGCTGCTCTGAGCTGTGAGAAATTCAGAGAATCATGGAATTTAGGGGTTGGAATGGACCTTACAGACCATCCAGCCCCAACCCCTGCCCTGGGCAGGGACAGCTCCTCACTAGATCAGGTTGCTCAAGGCTCATCCAGCCTGGATTGAACACCACCAGGGCTGGGGCAGCCACAGCCTCCCTGGGCAACCTGGGCCAGTGTCTCACCACCCTTAGAATATTGATTCTTGCCTCCAAAAAACTTAGGAGATTTTTTGGTAGTTTTGGTGGTTAGCATAAGGAAGGAATCCTGATGATTGAACACCCCAAAACTTTAAAAAAAAGCTTTAGATTTAGACTGTATTCATATTTTTCCCTTTCTCTCTAGTGAGTAAACACCCCCAGGGCTGAATCCTCTTGAAGTACAAAAGGAGCATCAGATATTAATCCAAATTCATAGACATTAATGCATGTATGCATTTGAATCTGTGTGTTTTAGAGGCATCCCTTTCCAAAGGCTGTCTGCAAGTAATCTCTGAAGCACAGAAACTGGTTTAATTCAGAAAAAAAATTGGAGAAGAGATTTTGATTTTACACTCATGCAGTTTGTCTTATTTTCCCCTGAAGGACACCATGGTTTAATGGATGGGGCTTTAATCTACCCAGAGGTCAGTCTTTGCTAGACAAGTGGAACCTTATTCCTGAGGGAATTGATATACTAATGACACATGGACCTCCCCTTGGTAAGTGAAACAAAAGCTCTGTGTGATTTTTTTTTTTTGCATGAGAATTTTACTTTCAAAAGAAGCAAAATTAATAACGCTGTAAGCTACACTGTAATCACACCCAGACTCAAAACTATGGGTTAAAAAGCCTTTTTGGAAGAACTTCCAACTGTTTTCTTAATAAAACTTAAATTTTTTTTTTGTTAAACTCAAGCTAGGGAAGATCAAATACCTGACTCCATAACCATTAGAGTTTGACATTTTATTTAAGAACAGTATTCATCTGACAGAGTTTCCAATCCCATATGATTTTTCTGAGACTGACTAAAACTTTTAAAACCTTTTCCCACTACAATGACACGTTTCCTTAGGGTTTGAGAGTCAAGAGAAGAATGCAGTCACATATCCTCCTTATAAGCTCAGAATATGTAGCAGTAGTTTCAAGGATAAAAGGGAGGAATAGAATGAAGTTCTTAGATAATTGTTCCTTACTTGAACTAATGACAGGTAAAGCACCAATCTAAGAATGCATAATTTGTTTTTTCATTAGGTAGCTAAAGTTTTCACTTTAGTTGAGTTCTGCTTGCCTTGTCAATGTGAGTTACTGATCTCCATTTTAACTCTTAAGCTCTAAACTAAGTTCTGATTGTCTCAAAAAGACCTGAGGACAGTCATTCAGCAGAGGGAGGAGTGTTCACTTTTGGCATATCTGATGTCATTAAACCCCCCACTAAAACCACTTGAAAATTCCCACTGTTTTTTTTCTGTCCTCTACCCCACAAGATAGTATCACATATTATTTACTTTGAAAATTCCCACTGTTTTTTCTCTGTCCTCTACTCCACAAGATAGTATCACATATTATTTACTGCTTTATTTTTTACTGTGGCAAGTAGCCTAGGACTGTATTTTAAGTATTTCAGTTGGTTTGACAACAACTGAGCATCTGTCTTTTATAAAGATGACTTAGAGGATAAGGAAGTGTGTCAGTCTCTTCATTGCCCTCACTATGCATAGACTGAAATTTTGGCAGGGTTTAGTAAGCTCCTGCAATCCAGGGGGTCAGATCATCACACAGGCACAGGAAGTCACTGACTTTGGAGATGGTAGTGAATAAAAACTTCTCAGAATTGCACGATGCCACTATAAAACACCACTTCAAGTGCTTCCAGGCTGGCTCAGTGCTCTCACAGAGCTTCTTGCTGCCCGTGGTGTCAGGAATTAATACATGCTTGGGGTTTTTTTGCCACAATTAAGCTAAGAGTCAGCAATCTAAGCAAAGCTAAGGGGAAAAAAAAAGTCCAGAAAGTTTTTGACTAGTGTACTTGCTGCTCCTTTTATATTCTGATTACTTTTTTAATACTGCTTAGAGAACATTGCTTGATGATCTGCAAATTCTCTTTAGCCTTAGAGGAGTGATACAGCATTCACTGACAGTGGAGCCACTGGATATTGCAAAACAGCACTTTGACTAGCACTCTCTTAATCAGTTTATTTTCCCAAAGAAGCCAGAAAACCCTGCAAGCATGTTTAGAGTGTTCCATGGGTGCTGTTTGAAATAGGTTGCTAATCCATCTGCTCTGAATTGGGTTCATACAGCAATACTGTGATGCTGCAGACTCTAATGAGTGCTTTAATTGAATAAGCATACTTAAATTTTGCCTTTGATGGAGATAATGAAGTTCAATTTCCAAAGGTTGGCACTGTATCTTAGCTACAGACACAGATTAGGTGCTAGTACCGTGCCTAAAACGAGGGGCTCTAGGTCTCAACCTGCATGATAATGCTGCTTTTAAAATAGATTTTTATTTATTTACTTATGCAGTAAATGCTAAGGGAGGCAGAGCTGTATCTGGACTCTTTGTTCACTCTGAAGTTTAGCCAAGTTTATGTCACAGTATGTTTTCACTACCTGGGCTAAACTTGGCTCGGGGTGTAATCACACTGAAATCAAGAGAATGATGCTCCAGTTGGACGTGGCTCCTGATTTCCCTTTCACTCCTCCTCATTCCTCTTGCCCTGCTGATCCTTTCCAGTGCTAGTCCAGGCAGCACTGGACTTCTGTAAGAACTGATGAGTTTTGTCCATTTTTCCATATTATCCATAGGACCGAGTGGCAATGTAGTCAGTTGGAAGCTGTTTTGCTGCGTTGCTCGTGGTTGGTGACGTGGGCTCAGCAGTAACCTGATGCTTGCAGACCAACTCTGGCAAGTTTGAGGCTGTATTTTAAATCTTTGGGGTGACAGCTGTACCGAGTTGTGGATCAGCTGATCTTCCCGAGCACTTTTCATTTCTGGAGTCACCACATAGCTGACGTGGGAAGCCAAGTGCTCCCAGAGCCAGGGGAAAGGGAAGAAAAATCTGCAGCAGTGCCAGGAATAAATGTTCCAGGCTTTTTCAAGGTGGAAGGTGAGTTTAAACCTACAATTTAAAAAAAGCCCAAATCCCATCCAGAAAAATATTAATGCAGATGGAGGGAGGAAATCTTCAGGAAGTTTAAAAAAAACCCAAATCCCATCCAGAAAAATATTAACGCAGATGGAGGGAGGAAATCTTCAGGAAGACAAAGTGACAATGAACCATTTCTTAAAAGCCATTGTGCACTTTAATGGAGAGGTTATGACTAGAGATAATGTAATAAACCTTCTGTGAATTACGACTTCCTGAAAGGCTACGTGAAACCTTACCTGAATAGAGAAAATTAACAGTATTGATTGCCTTCTGCCTTCAGGTTTTCGAGACTGGGTTCCAAAGGAGCTGCAGAGAGTGGGTTGTGTGGAGCTGTTGAACACGGTGCAGAGGAGAGTAAGGCCCAAGCTCCATGTCTTTGGTGGAATTCATGAAGGTAAGGAGCAGTCTCACTCCCCACTTCAATTTCAGGTTTGCAGGAAGCACATTTTGATGGTGCATTGCAATGCAGGAGTAATGGCGTATCGGGCTAAAGAGAGAGCTGAGGGAAGTGGTTGCCTGCACAGCACTTTGTAAATTTATGCCAGAATTGAAACAGACTGTTTCAGGAACGTGTGCTACATTTAGCCACCTACATCTTTCACTGTGCAAAGGTTGTTCTATACAGGTTATTTGAAAGCAATTCAAATTTTTGACGAACTTGGTTAGAGAAACAGATGAGATTCCCCACACTCGCAAGCCAAAATGAAAATTATCCCCATTGCTCTGAGCACGGGAGCTAAGAAAGGTGCTAGAGAAAAGAAAAAAAAAAGAAAATCGAGGACAACTTAGTGTCTGAGCTCACCTCCCTCAGTGTGCAAGGAGAAGCAGAAAGGAGAGCATCTTGAGTTAGGCATCAAGAGGAGACATTGCCAGAACTCAGGGCACATACATTTCTCAGAGCACTGTGCTGCAGTCTGTACCTTGTGTTACCTTCCCTGCAGCCTCATGTGTTAGAGGAGATCTTTCTCCCCACTGCCAGTGCCAGGCCAGGCAGAGTGTGAAGCTTCAGGAACAATGAGCTCAGTCTGTGGCAGAGACTGAGAGATTAAATATATTCTGGAGATGCTTAAATATTTAATACAATTTTGTAGCTTTCATGTGGCTGAGAGACAAACACTAAGAGTTCTTGCCTGAGAGAGAGTGTAAGACTTTGTGACCCTAGTACTCAAAATTACACATTAAGTGCTTTATATTCTCCCCCCTGGAGGTTTCTTCATTGTCTCTAACTAGATTCTCCATAGGCTTAAAGGTTTGGAGGACTTCATAAAAGCAAAATAAAAAAAAAAAAAAAAAAAGGACAGCTTTCTCAGCCAGCAGTGTTGATTTTTGTGAAGCCCTTGTGACTTCATACAGTGAATTTCATGCCTGGCATCTGTAAATAAAGAGGTTATAATGGGAATACTGACATGACCTTAAGGATAGAGACATAAATAACAGTCTTTTAATGCACCCAGGAAAAGACTGGATATTTTGTGCAAATATTAGTCCTTGCATAGTAAGAATAAGGGAATATAGAAAGACTTCCAGCTTAAAACATGTAAATTGTCTCTAGCCTTTGTAGGCATATTAAGAGGTGAAGCTTCTGGTTGTAATAGGATTGAGTAGTGGGAGAGGAAAGTATTACAATGTACAAGAACATTGTTCTGAGGAGGCACCAAGGAACCACGTGCAGCACCCTATGTTTAAATCTCATAGGGAAGATGGCAGCACATGTTAAAAGTTCAAATAAACTTTGGCAAAAGTACCAACAAAAAAGTTAAAATCCTGTTCAGCATTTCCACAGAAGACATAAGAACAGCTTGTTTCAGTAGAGAAAGAAATAGCAAAGTGTTAAGAGCATTATCTTACAGTGCAATTAGTTCTCACCCAACTCCAGCTGAGATGAACATGGACCACATTCCCTTAAATCAAGGGAGGCTAGACACACGTTTTGGTGATGGAAGCTTTTTTCCTGGTTGATAAGCAAGAAGATTTTTCCCACCACGAGATGCTCTAAATCAAAATTGCCAGGCTAAATAAATAAAGTAATACAGGTGGACACTGCAGCAATTCTGAAGTGATTATTCTTTCTGATAGGCACTGTGGGTAGCTGTATTTATCTTACCTCTCAAACAGCAGTGATCTGTACTGTATCATAATGGCTTAAAAGAAAAACATTTTTCCTCTGTGAGTTTGCAATGGGAAGGGTTTCTTCCTCCATGAAACTCTGGGGGTTATTTTTTTAAATTTATTTTTCAAAGTACATTTTGATGCCAAATACTTCCCTGATTTTTTTTTTCCCCAAGATTCTTTGTTAGCTTTTTGTGGATGCCAGATAAAAACACACACAGGCTTTGATAAAAATTTTATATATGTATATATAAAGTGAATCATAGAATCATGGAATGGTTTGGATTGGAAGGGACCTTAAAGATCATATTCCAAACCCCTTGGCAGAGGCAGGGAACCTTCCACTAGCCCAGGTTGCTCCAAGCCCCATCCAACCTGGCCTGGAACAGTTCCAGGGATGGGGCAGCCACAGCTGCTCTGGACAACCTTAGTATGTGTATATTTTTAAGCTGCTGATGAGTTGCTGAGGTATCAGGAGTCAGATGGTCCAGCTTGGCAGTCGTGTGATGAGAACTGGATGACAAGGGCTTGGACAGGGAGAGCTTACAGGGTTCAGGGCATTGCCCAGAGAGGAGGTGGTATAGGCTAAAGCAAAGCTACTTGGAATGTGCTGCCCAGGGAGGTGGTGGATTCCCCATCCCTGGAGGTTTTCAAGCTGAGACTGGATGTGGCACTTAGTGCCATGGGCTAATGACCACAGTAGGGTTGGACTGGATGATCTTGGAGGTCCCTTCCAACCTGGTTGATTCTATGATTCTAAATCTTTTCCTTCTGAAGAGTTTTTCTCCTTCCAGGCATGCAAACTACAGCTCACTAATTAAATAATTAGAAAAAGAACATGTGTGGTTTTGTCTCCGTTTCTGCCCCATCCAGTTACGACGGAAGATTTTTCCATGGGGGGAATAAAGTTTGTACATAAAACAAAAGCATCCATTTCCCAACCACAGCACACTGTATTGTTTCAATCAAGCCTTTGTGGTAGCTTTCATGAGCTTGTTTCATTTCGAAGGGCCTAATTGAATTTTGCTCCAAAGGGTTGACCCCAGCAGAAGCTTTCGGTGCCGTTTGTTTCCGTGGCACTGAGTGTGGCACGTTCTCCCCACAGGTTATGGCATTATGACAGATGGTTACACCACCTACATCAATGCCTCCACGTGTACAGTCAGCTTCCAACCAACCAACCCTCCAATTATCTTTGACCTTCCAACCCCTCAAGGATCCTGAAGCACTACTGCACATTTGGAACTGGGGAAGGTCTAGAAACTGCCATTTTCTAATTCTAAAACTTCCATTCAGTTACATGTTTATTTCAAAATAAGGGTTGGGGGGGATTTTGGGGGGGACAGGGGTGGGTTTGGTTTTGGGGTGGGATTTAGGGTTTGGTTTTTTGTTTTTTTTTTTTTTTTTGTAAATTGCTGGTGCAAAAGAAACATGGAGAAAAGTTAGAGGTTGTGCTTTTTGGAAATGCAGCGTTCATTTTGAATTGATAAAGCATTGTGAATTTGTAAAATGACTTTTTTTTTTTTGGTTGGTTTTTTTTTTTTTCTTCAATAAATTTGCCATTGTAAATTGTTATAGTGTTCTCAAAAGGACAGCCAAGCTTTCTTTTAAGAAGTGAGAGACCTTATTTTAATATTATATTATAAGCTAAAAAAAAAATAGGCAGCATTTAAAAACACCCAAATTTGCACAACTTACGTTACTGTCGGGGTTTTTTTAAGTGTCTTCTTTTTCCTTAGGTCTAAATGTTTGCTTTTAAGCTCCATTTATATCCTTTTTTTTTCTTTTTTTTAGTAGCACAAACAATATTTTGGGGTCCATTTACCTCTTGATACATTTGCATGTACTTAAACTTGTTTCTATTCACAGTAGAATGCAGCAAGGGGAGAATAGACTTCTCATTTGTTTGTCCCTACCTGCTTTATAAAGACTGTTCTAGATAGCCACAGCCTGTATGTGATACCTACCTCCTGTTGTTCACCTACCTTCTGTTGTTCCTTTTTTTTTTTTAAATTATTTTAGCTTTAAAAGACTGGGGGTGAAAGCTGCAAAGAGCAGGTATTTCATGCAGTAAAAAAAAAAACCTAAAAAAAAAAAAAAAAATGAAAAATGTAAATGCGGACTCCTTTTAAATATGAATTTATATATATATGTATTTTTTGTGCATTATAACTAAGCTAGGATTTAATATTGCCAGTATAGCATCTGCAAAATTATGCTGTACAGCACATCTTAAATTATGAAGGATGTGACACATTTTTCCAAGTGCTCAAGGCCTTCAACAGCCCGAGTTAAATCTTTGGTGTAGTTCAGGCATGTATAGAGTCAAATGGATACAATCAAGCCTAAATAAAATAAGGCTTAGTTGTCCTTTATATTTAAATATTCTTCTTGTCTTTTTTTTTTTTTTTTATTATTTTTATTTCCTTTCTCTTATTTTGCACTGTGTGTAAATGCAATCTTGCTAGCACAAAATATTGTTGCAGATAGTTATTTCTGTTCTACCACTGTAAATGCTGTCGAGCTTCGTTCTGTTTTATGTTACCTTGTTCATGGAATTTAGAAAAGCAGTTGTTTCTTTAAATTTATTGTGATATTATATCTAGCGGCCTTTATATGCAAATAAAATTGCAAGATTTTTAAGTGCTTGGCTTTAAGGGAGTTTTGTGGGTTTCCGTGGCGTGAGCAGTTTGGGGGAGCAACGAGAAGGGTAAGTAAGAAGTTTTCTATTCCTCAATAAATTTTTATTGCTCACTGTTGATGGCAGTTGGGTCGATAAAGCACTCAGACTTTTCCTTTCGTTTCTCTGCCATCCATCTTGCCATCCTTTTTAGACAGGAGGGATTTTTGTCTTCACATGGTGTAATTCAGGGCCACCAAGTCTGGGGGGTTAAGCCTTGTAGGACACTATTGCAAATGACACGAGGAAGAATTGATTAGCAGTAACCTCTGTGCTTCCTCACTTGGTCATTAGTACCGAGCTGCAGGTCTCGTGCTCATCCACTCTGGGTTAAGAAATGAATAGACACAGGTGAAATATATCACTTTTTCCCCTGGCTCTCCTGTCAGTTTTGTGGCTACAGAGGGATCCAGCACTGGCAGGGGAGAGTGATTCAGTGTGTGCCAGGAGGTTGACAAACCCAACAGGACCTGCTGGGTTTGCTGCACACAGTTCCATATCTAACAACGGAATCTTGTTCCAAAAGAGAAGTGGTGGCTGTGAAAATCTAGTTTCAAACACGAGAAGATAAGGCACAGTTTTCCTGAATCTGCATCTGCAATAATGTCAACAAGACCTCGGGAGACACAGCATATTCCCAATTATCTTAGCAGGTTGTTAACTTTTGACAGTTTTTTGATATATAAATTATAGAAAAAGAAATTCTGTGCTCTTTCAGCAGGGTATAGCTCAGAGGGCTGCTGCCTCTGTATTTTGATGCAGCATGTATTACACAGAACTATGGAGTTGGCTGCAATTTTCAGATTTCTGAGACTGCTATACCCAAGTCTTTTCTGGGGAAGAAGCTGCTACACCTCTTAAATCTAGTTCTTGTTTTGTATGTGGAATTTTTTGGCAGGTTTCCTTATGGAATAGATAGGTACCTTCACTCTTAGATGTTATCTGCCTTGGTTTATTTGCAGTGCTGGATATTTTACCATTTGAGCTAAAGGATGAAAGGTCACCAAATATCCATCCTTATTTTTGGATTTAGATGCCTGATGTGTCTTGTGGGCTTTTTTCAGCTAGTGGTGGGAAGACTGGGGAATTGGTATTGGCAATCACAGCTCTTTGCTGGCAAAGAACATGGTTACATTTGAGACTGCTGTCCTTCCTCAGAGAAAGCCTTTTCCTGGAGCACATAGAAATGATATATGCAGCACACCTTAGATTATTCTGTTTCACTGGTGTGTTGCTTGTTGTCACTGCCCAAGGAGGAGCTCCCCATTGCCTGGGATGCTTCGTAGTGCCATGAACTTCCAGATGGGCAGAGAACAGCCACTGCACCTGGATTGCTCTCCAGACATCTACAGGACCTGACACCTCTTCACTCTGACAGTACAGCCCATGGCACAGGTATCTGCCTCTAAGTGAAAACTGGGTTATTCCAAAAGCAAAATTTTTGAAGTCAGCAGCTTTGTTCCAGGATTTGAGCAGTCTGAAGCCTTCTGGTTGCAGACAGAGCCAGATGAGTAAATGGTAGCACAAGTTCAGCCAGGACTCTGCCTTGGCTGAGACTGGCAGTGAGAAAATACCAGAAGCAATGCCAGGTACAGACTCTGCAATAAGCTATAAACTGGTCCCCTGGAGCTGTGTGTGTCCTAAAGGTGTGTATCTTTTGGTTTCAGCTCTTTCCATGTGGTTTTTCTGGCTGTGTGGGGCAGTAGGTGTGTGACCAAATGGTTGTGCACTGGGATACAAGGGCTTGGGTTCATACAAACAGGCTAAGACTTCCATTGAGACATACATCCAGGATAGTCACTGCTTTGGCACCAGTTGATGCTAGTGCTGAATGCAGCTGTTAATTTAGAAAAATACCTGATCTTCAGGGGTACTTTCTAAGCCTGTCTTGGTATTTCTTTTCTCTCAGGCTCTGTCAGCTTCACCTTGCATACCACTGGTGGTTCAGTGCTGAATTTGTTATTCTCCATGCCAGAATCTTTTAAATTTTATTCCCTCAGTTTTCCTTTGTCCTTTAAGTAATTGATCTAGCTTTTCCTCTTCTGAGAAAGCTATCATTTTGGCTAGCAGCAATTACAAAAAGGCCAGGAAAATATTAACAGTTTGGCTTTTTTTTTTTTTTTTTTCTTTTTGTTCTTCCCAGAGATTTTGAAATGTATAGGTGTCTGTCTGTGCTGTCACAGGCAGGTAATTTTCCTTTGCTGGATCTCAGCCATATCTGACAATCAGGGTAAATGGGACACAGTATGATTTGAAGAAGTTGGATTTCACAGGGAGGCAGAAGTGTGTGATGAATCTGCTTCTTTTCAAGGATCTTTCATGACTAAAAGTAGCTTGATACATGTATGCAGAATAAACCTTGAATAATAAGTCTTTCTTTGGGGTCTGGTCCAAGCCCATTGAACTCACCAGGAGTCCTTCTATTGACTTCAGCTGGCTCTGAATCAGACACCTGGCATCTATCTGGATTGTGTTGCTGTCTCTTACTCATCCTTCAAACCAGAGGAGATGGTCCCTGGTTAACATGCAAGAACCTCTTGGCAGGAAGAGAGCCCTACCTATTGTAAGTGCTGAATCTTTCCAAGTGATTGATTAACAGCAGCGTAGTCGATTAACCTTTCTTCTTCTGAGAGCAGCTTTCATCTAGTCATCTCGATAAGGCTGAAAGCAGTCAAGGCCTTTATCAGGGGAGGGCTGTGGAACAGGATGTTCCCCAGAGGTGATTGGTTCCCAATTCTCTCTGCATAGTGAATTTAGTGAATTCAGCAGACCTCGAGGTCAAGCATTTATTAGGCTAAGAGACTGTCAAATCAATCTGGTCTACTCCAGGCAAGTTCTACCAGGAGAATGGGTTTTGCCAAGACTCTGTCTAAGGAATAGATTGATGACTGACTCCTGGTTGAAGCTGCCTTTCTCTTTTCCATTTTCCGTGAATCAGGTTTTTTTCCCCCTCACTGACACCAATATTTTCTCCCTGGACAAATTTTATTAGGGAAACTCCTGGAAATCATCTGTAATTGAAGTCACAGGGAGACTTCCAAACTCTGTAGTCCTTCTATTCTGGATTATACTGACCCTAGGGCTCTCTAGGAGACCTTGCTTTTTGACCATGTGTGTCTGGATTATGTTTCTGGAATTTTCTTTTCACCCCTTCCCTCCCTTACTGCTGCTTTTTTTACTAACCTTTTACACCTTCTCTCCCTTACTGCTGCTTTTTTTACTAACTTGATCTTTTCTAGCACTGATAGAGGGATCCTTCTTTTCTCTGCTTACCATGATAGCTTCTTATTGAAAAGAGAAATGCATTGTTAGAAGTAGTGTATTTTCTTTCCTCTGTTTTGAGCTACAGGTCCTAACTTCCTCACAGAGTCCCCATGTGCAGTAACCAGCCTGTTGTGCACCATCCCCAGCAGGTTTACATTAGGCACTGGGATCAAATCCTGTTGTGATCAGCTGCCAGAGGACTCCACTGCACTTGTGCAGGCAGGTCCTGACTCTCAGAGCTCTGCCTGACCCTCAGGAGTGCAAGGAAAGACATTCTGAA